GACCCCCAGCCCCGCTGCCCACCCCTCGGCTCCGCCTTCCCGCCCTGCCCGGGGTCCCCGCGGGCACCCTGGGAATGGAGCTAGGGGACCCCTCGAAACTTCAGGTGCCTGAACCCTGGATGGACGGAGGGCTCCCCGCGACCCCCTCCCCGGAGGTCCGGCCGGGGCCTGACGGTGACCCTTCGGCTTTGGAGAGGGTCCCGGGCTTGCGCGCGCGCGCGTGGGGATCCCCGGGACCGAAGACGCCGCGGGGCGGTGGGCGGGGGGAGAGATGAGCCCGACGGCCTGGGGACCGGCTTCCAAATGGGGTCCCCGAGTGTAGTCTGGGGACCCCCGCCCCGCCTTGGGCAGGGCAACGCTGGGGGGGGGCGCAGCGGGAGTTGCGCCTCCCCCCCAGGTTCCGCCCAGCCCCCCGGGGCAGCCCGGGGAGGTACAGATGGGGGGGGTTCGCCCGGGGTCCCCCAGGATTCCTGGGAAAGCCTCTGCCGCCTTCCCAGGCTGCACAGCTGATGGAGTTTAAAAAGTCCCGGGCCTGTTGTGTGGTAGAAGCCCCGCGGCTTTTCCTGACCTCACCTTCTGGGGGTCCCGGGAGCCCGGGGTGGGGGGAAGCTCCACCCGGTAAGGCCGGGCGGTTGGCAGAGCTGGCTGGCACGGCCCTGGATTGGGGGCAGCTGGGGGGGGGCGGGCCGTGATATAAGAGCACCTCCTTGGCTGCAGCCTTACACCCTCCGGGAGAAACTGGGGTGTCCGATTTCAATCTGCCACACCCTGGGATTGTAGCTGGCTAGGAAGAGGGGGGCGGGGGCGACGCAGGAAGGTGGAGGGGGCCCGGTGGCTGAGCTCACCTACTTCCCATTTTCCCAGGGATGACCCGGCCTGACCCCTTTGTTTATTCATGACTGGACCAGTTATTTAAGGGGGGAGGGGGTGCCTCCGGTTCACCTATGAACTGGGAACAAGTTGTAAAGCGTTCACTACCTTGGCCTAGAAAGGAAACCCGAGTAGTCATTATTACCGTTACATTAGCACTTGTGACCTTAGCCTCTGCCTCCGCGTGTAACCTGGGGGTATGGGTGACACCTGCTGTCATGAGGTTGTTTTGGGGACCGCCTGTCCCAAGCAGCTTCGAATTCTGACCCCGCTCCCTGCCTCAGGTGGAATAGAGCTGGGCTAGCAAGGGCTCAGAGAGTATTGGTTTGCATTTCAAGTTAGAGCACCTTTGGGACAGGGAGTTCCTAGACAGCATCTGCCCCAGGCTGGCCAGGAGGAGGGACTCTCCTGAGGACACTGTGTCAGGGCTGGCGTGCTGCTCACCCTCACCATGGTGTGGCCGAACCTCTGGCCAGCAGAAGCCTGTGAAACTTGAGTCGCAGCCTGGCTGGTCTGACTTCTGTTTGTGGAGGCCCTGGTTTTCCCTCAGGGGCCCCCTTCCTCTGCACCCTCAAGAAATACAGGACTGAGCTGGTGTCTCACGCCTGTCATCCTAGCTACTCAGGAGGCTGAGATCTGAGGATCACGGTTCAAAGCCAGCCCAGGCAGGAATGTTTGAGAGACTCTTATCTCCAATAAGCAACCCGAAAACCGTAATTGGTGCTGTGGCTCAAGTGGTAGAGTGCTAGCCTTGAGCTGAAGAGCTCAGGAACAGCACCCAGGCCCAGAGTTCAAGCCCCACCACCACCACCACCACCAACAACAAAAAATCTACAGGGCACTTTGCAGGTGCACCATAGCTCCTGGGCTGTGTGTCTCCCCCAGCTCCTGCTGGTCACCAACTGGGTCTGAGTCCTGGGCCAGTGTATCCTGGCTCCCCTGGCTAAAGGTCTTCACAAGCAAGCTCTGCTTTGTGCATGGGGGGTGGTGGTGGTGGTGGTGGTGGTGGTAGTAATGAGGCTTGAACTCAGGACTAGGCAGGTGCTTTACCAGTTGAGCTGCACCCCCTGCCTCTGTCTGCTTCTTGTTCACCTGGCATGCTGGACCAAGACCCTTTATCTTCTGCTGTTCAGAACTCTGCCATTTATTCAAGGTTCATTCATCACCCCCACAAATCAAGCCCTGGCCACTAGCATCTGATGTCCCAGGAGAAGGAACAAGTCAGGGCAGGAGGTGGGGAGACGCACAGGGTGTTCTTCTGGTCAGGTGGTCTGAGGGTGACACTCGAGGAGAAGACATTGAGCAGAGGCCGGACGGAAACGGGGACCAGGAGCTATCGTGGCGGGGATGTGGTTAGCTGTGGGCAACAGGACAGCCGATGGGGCTTGGGTGAGTCTCAGCGGGGCCAGCACCCAGCATGGCTTTGTGCAGAGAAATGATAGATTGAAGGCAGAAGCAGTGGAGGCAGGGAGACCTGAGGGGGCCCTTTTGGTGCCAGGATGCTGGGGTCCGCAGTGCAGACAGGGTTTGCTGTTGGGTTGAATTGAGATGGAGAGAAAGAGGAAGAGAAAGAGGGGGACTTGAATAAGGCTGACACCACCAAGGGGTGGGCATGCCTGAGAATGACATCTCTCAGAGCCCATTGGAGCCCTAAGTGGGGGCTGGAGGGGGGGGCAGCCTAGCAGACAACACACTTACTCTTGAGGGTTTAAGATTTCCTTTGAGCCAGGCCTCCGTGGCTCATGCCTGTAATCCCAGCTATTCAGGAGTTTGAGATGTGAGGATCACTCTTCAAAGTCAGTCTGGACAGGAGAGACTGTTAAGACTCTTTTATCTCCAATTGCCCAGCAAAAAGTCAGAGTGCAAGTGTGGTAGAGTGCCAGTTTTGAGAGAAAGAAAAGCTTAAGGGACAGCACCCAGGTCCCTGAGTTCAAGTCCCAGTGGAGGTGTGCACATGTGTGTGCACTCATGCACACACACACACAATTTCATGTGAGAAAGAATTGTACTCTGGACTTCTGTGTACCCAAGAGGTATTTGAGTGTAACCTTGATGCCCTCAGCCACCAAGGCTGTGTGGCAGGGATCTCTTCCTGGTGGTCCCTAGAGCACCAGCTCTGCCCTTCCTGGCCCTAACAGACCCCTGGGGTCCCTTCCCCGCTCAGGTCTGTGCTCCTGGGCGCCAAGAGCCCTGGGGAGTGCAGGCTGGGAGAGCCTGGGCACATTCCCCCCTCACACCCTCCTTGCCTCCCGCCCATTGTAGCCTCCTTTGGTGGCTCCCTACCCTGGGCCTGGGTCCCAGAAAGCAGCGTGATAAAAGCTTAAAAATGTCCCGGGACCCCTGTGCTCCAGCACAGAAGATGCAGTGGAACCCAGCAAGAATAGTGTCTGCTGGAAATTGAAGGACAGCCGGGTGCCCATGGCGCACACCTGTGATCCTAGCTACCCAGGAGGCTGAGAGCTGAGGATCGTGGTTCAAAGCTAGCCTGGGAAGGAAAGGCCATAAGACTCTTATCTCCAATAAACCACTCAGAAAACCAGAAGTGGCGCTGTGGCTCAAGTGGTAGAGCACTCGCCTTGAGCTGAAGAGCTGCCCAGGCGCAGAGTTCCATCCCCATGACCAAAAAAAGAAAGAAAGAAAGAAAGAAAGAAAGAAAGAAAGAAAGAAATTAAAGGACACCCACAGCCCTCTATACCATGCCGGCCCTCTCTGCAGGTGTTGTTCGCACACCACGCTGGCCCACAGAGCCCCAGCCACAAGGCCAGAGTGAACAGCAGCCGGTGGCTGACCAGTGACTGCAGCTTCTTCCCTTGGCCCTCTCCTCCCCCTATCACGGCCGGTGCGGTGAGTCACCCCTCTCTAGATGGGGACAAATGAGCAGAACAGAGCAGACAGCCATACCTCAGGGAGGGCGGGCCAGAGCACAGGCTTGGAGCTGGTCAGCATAGCGCAAAAGTGGGGTGAGGCTGGGCCAGACTTCTGTGTACCCGAGAGGTACTTGAGTGTAACAGATACCAGATAATAAGCATTAACGGGGAGACAAAGACTTTGGCCAGGGAGAGATGGATGGAAACGGAGCAGGGCACAAAGAGTGCTCTCCTGGTTATTCTAATGACTTGAGGGGGGCTATATGCCCAGCAAGAGCCCCAACCTAAGGGAAGTAGCCCTGAGAACCTTCACTTCCTGTTTGCCCTGCTACCTTCCTCTCTTAGATGGTCAGTTTAGAAGGACTGGAGGGGCCATGACTTATCTGGCCAGCTTTAGAACTTTCTAGAAGTATTGAGATCTAGGAAGTCTCTCTTCTCTGGTCTCCCTGGAGGATCTAAAATGAGGAGGTCCCCATAAGAGTGGAGCTGAAGGTGAAGGGCACAACTTCAACGGATTTTCTGAGCTGCTGCTCCGCCCCACCCCCTCACCATGACTGTTTTTGGTGACATGGTTCTGGCTGGCTGGCAGACACTGGACGGCCACTCTCTATCTGTGGAGGACTCTCTCAGGTAGTGTAGAGGGGTCCTGGGGCACTCTGGCTGCCTCAGAAAGGGTCCCGAATTTAACTTTTCTGTACCCCCAAGAAATGAGATTTTTTTTTTCTTTTTTTTTTGGTCAGTCATGAGGCTTGAGTTCTGGGCCTGGGCGCTGTCCCTCAGCTTTTCAGCTCAAAGCAAGCACTCTATCACTTGAGCCACAGAACCACTTCCAGTTTTCTGGTGGCTCATTGGAGATAAGAGTCTCAAGGACTTTCCTACCTGGGCTACCCAGGATCCTCAGATCTCACCCTCCTGAGTAGCTAAGATTACAGGCGTGAGCCACCAGGGCCCGGCTAGAAATGAGGAATTTAAGAGTGTTGTGCTGTGCTGTGCTGTGTGTGTGTGTGTGTGTGTGTGTGTGTGTGTGTGTAAAATATTTGAACATCCAAGAGTTGTCAGTTTATCTACTAAAGAAAATAAGACAAATTTACACATGGGTATAGGGTCCTATCTAAAAGGTTGAGGCTGTACTACAGGTGACGGTAACAGAATAGATAGACTATAGCAGCGTTTGAGTTGGGCCTTGAAGGACAAGTGGGGTTTTAGCCACGGAGACTGGCATATGGAGAGGGGAGTTGACCCTGGGTGGAACAGTGGGACAGGTCAAGTGCACGGAGCCCTGAGCAGCCCAGTGTGGGGGTGTTGGCGGGGTGCTGCGTGTGGTGACTTGGCTCTGTGGAAGAGTGTGACTCTTATTTTCCACAGGCCTGCTCCTCCACTTAGTAGCTCAGCCAGCCTGGGCAAGATGCCTCCATTTGAACCTTTTCTTCCCCTTCTGCAAAAGTGAGGACCCCACCTCCACGGGTGTTGTCATGGTTACACGAGATGATGTTCTTTTTGGATTTGAGGCTGTTGGGGACGGTGACTTGTATGTGTACTGTTGATTTTTCAACATCAATTTTTATTATACACTTCAAAAAGTTCAAATGCAAGCACGAAGCCTATGGCTAACACTTGTAATCCTAGCTCCACCAGAGATTTGAGGATAGTGGTGCAAACCCAGCCCAGGCAGAAAAATCCTGGAGACTCTTATCTCCAATGAACCAGCAAAAAGCCAGAAGTACAGTTGTGGCTCAAGTGGTAGAGCACTAGCTTTGAGCATAAAAGCTCAGGGACAGTGTTCAGGCCCTGAGTTCAAGCTTCAGTATCAGAGTCAAGGGGGAAAAAAAAGTCAAAAACCAACACCGAGAAATAGTGAAGTTGAAAGCATCAAACACATACTTAGTAGAATCTGTACCCACTAAAAACACACAATTGTCTCCCTTTTTTTGAATGGGGTGTGTGGGGAGAGACAGAGACAGGCAGAAAGAACACACCAATACTGAGACTTGAATTCAGGGTCTCACACTTTCGCTTAATTTTTTCATTCAAGGTTGGCTTTCCACCGCTTATCCACACCTCCACTGCTGGCTTTCTACTGGTTAATTAGAAATAGAAGTCTTGCAGATTTACCTGCCAGGCTAGCTTTGAACCTTGATCTTCAGATCTCAGCCTCCTGAGTAGCCAGGATTACTGCATGAAACACATGTGCCTGGCCGGTTGTATACTTTAAATCCATGAGTGCATGTTGATTTGAATTCCTCATTTTACACAGAAGGTTACTACTTCCTGTGCATTGGACATGTGTTAACCCCCCACACCCCGTCTCCCCCCGGATTTTGTGGCTCAACCCATAAGTGCCATTTTAATAGGTAGAATTGGCTTGTACTGACTTGACTTTGTCCCACTTCTATTCTGCGTTAAATGAACCCCCTAAAAACCTCTGTGGGTTTGGGTTTAGGGTCCATTTCTGTGGAATTGGTCACCATCCTGGAATCTTTGAGTTTGAGGGTGAAACAGAGCTTTTGATTAGGACCCTGAATTTTACTTGGGTATAAGTTTTAACCACATATTTCCCAATTTCCTTGCAACTAGATGTGGTCATCTGATTTAAGTTCAGGACAGAGAAGTCTAAGTAAATGGTGCAGTTTGCTTAGAGGTGCCCTTAAAGTGGGGGGGTGTCTTTCCTCTTTTTTTATTGTCTGAAATGCAATTGTGATGGCTGGGACTGAGGCAACCATTTGAACACTGACGTAAACCTTGAGAATCAAAACTATGCAGGGCGGGAGTCGCACGTGTTGAAATATCATTGTCGCTCAGGACTGCTTGCCCCAGAATTTTATATGTGAGAGGAATACATCTTTATCTCATTTAAATCACTATTTCTTGAGATTTCTGTCACCCGCTTGATCCAGACTAAGAGTCTTGTCTCTTATCCATAACACTGGATTTTTGTGCCAGAAAGAAAATAGAAAGCTGCTTTCCAGGGCTCCATCCTTCCTCCTTCCCTTTTCTAGGGGAGTCAGGGAGGAGGGCGGGGAGAGGGGAGGCAGGGTGCACTCACTGAGGCTCTTCCTACCTTAAGGGCTGCATTGCAAACACTTTTACCAGGTTGAGTATTTGTGCATTTTAGATTTCACTGGAAGCTTCAGACAGTTTATTCTGTTGTGTGCTTCCTTCCACTGGGCTAGACATCGCTCACGGGGCTTTGGGTCCACAGCGCTCTCTCCTAGGGGCCAGTGTTCTGTACGCCCTCTGATGATGTGCCACAGCAGTCCGGCTGGGGCTGGGCCCTAGCTCACCAGTCTGTGCCCCTCTGGCTCCTGCAAGCACATGTCCTTGTCACAACTGAGTCTCCGCAGCTTGGTATTTTTGTGTTGGAGATATCATTTCCTGTAGATCGGAGCAGAGTGCTGGAATATGATATTCCTAGGTGTAAGGTGGCCGTCCTGTGCCTTAGAGAAAACTTGCGCTACATAAAGCTTCGCCAGTCCTGCGTTGTGCTCGCTCTCACGACACCAGCCACGCATAGTCAGTGCAAGGCCTCTAGACAGAAACACACAGAAAACAGGGTTGCCTACTGAGCCAATGCCCAGAGACTCCCAGGAGCCTAAGCCCTAATAAAGTCTTTACTACACGGTACGATTGTACCTCTCCACTGCTTGGGCCTCCGAGTCAAGATGGTCTTATCTGGGAGTGTGCGTCCTGTCCCTCTGGTCTCAGGGCTGTGGTCTTCTCCCTCCTCGGGTGATGTCTGAAGGTTGGAAAGGACCATGTCCATGGAGGACAGTGGCCAGCCTTAGTGGCTCATCTTCTGTGATTCTAATGGAACAATTCTTGGGGACGGGCATTTATGAGTGAATCAAGGCAGATAAAGGACAGGGACTCTTGGAGCTCACAGATAGATCTCTACCAGACACCTTCACTGCTTGTATCCTCTGCACTGACTTCAGACATTTTGCCTTTTTTTTTTTTTGATCATGGTGCTTGAACAATGGGCCTGGGCACAGTCCCTCAGCTCTTCAGCTCAAGGCGAGCGCTCTACCGCTTCAGCCACAGCACCACTTCCGGTTTCAGGTGGTTCATTGGAGATAAAAGTCTCACGGTCTTTCCTGCCTGGGTTGGCTTTGAACTGCAGCTCTCAGATCTCAGCCTCCTGAGTAGCTAGGATTACAAGCGTGAGCCACTGACACCCAGCAACCTTTTGCTTCTTGAACTGAGGTCTCCAGGCTCCGTTGACAGGTGAGACACAGCAGGAAACACTAGAGAAGCCCTCGGCAGTGAGTGGCAGAGCCGCAACTCTATCCAGGCCCAGCATGGAGTGTATGCTGCCTCCCCCAGCCCCTCACCCCTGTGCTGCCCGAGGCTCTGGGCCTGTGATCTAAGTCCAGTGATGCCTGGCTCAAGGCTGGACTCCTGCTGTCTCTTCCCACCTTAAGAGCCCCACCCAGGAGGGGTGGCCTCCCCCTCTCCCCACCTGACTCCCTGTAGACAAGGGAAGAAGAGGTCAAGAAGGGCCCAAGTCTACCCAAGTCTCCTGTGGCATCTGCTAGCAAAGTCCCTGTTCTTGGAGTCAGGAGGGGGCACATTTGAACCTGGGTGAGGCTCTTCCTTACTTGTGTCTCTGAGGTTTCCCTGTCCCGGGACCTCCCTGCTTCCTACTCCAGCCACATGCCTTAGTCCAGGCAGCCTAGGGAGATTCTCTTCTCTCCACCCTGGAGGCTGGACGTCTCAGATCAAGGCCTCATCCTGATCCTCAGCCCACTGCCTTAGTCCTCAGGAGGCAGAAAGTCTGGCAGTGGCCTCCTTTAGAAGGGCACTAACTCCTCACGGGCACACCCTCAAGACCTAATCACTCCAGTCACCTAATCACCCCTAATCACCATGTGCTAACCCCTTCACTCGGGGTGGGAAGGGTGAGGGTTTACCAGCTCATGCCTGTCAGGAAGGATACACACATTCAGTCTGCGCAGCCAGTGTCTGGCTTCCTCCATCTTCCCACTCACTCAAAATCTCCCCATCTCCCCAGGTGGGCTGGGTGGCATGCGGGCAAAACCACAGGGTAGGCCTGCAGGCCACGGAGGCAGCATGCGCTTGGCATTGTGAGGTGGCCTGGGCCTGAGAGGCATGCGCCCCCTCCTCTCCCGCCCCCCTAGCCCCCCCCCGCCCGCTCCAGGACATCACAGACATGCTGTTCCTGGCAGAGGAAATGTGGTTGCAGCGGCCGCTCGTGGGCTGCAGGCTGGCCCAGCGTCACCCGGGACTGGAGGATATGAGGTACTGACTGCAGTAGTTTCTGCAAGGTGCTGGTCAGGGCTGGCAGTGTCTCGTGTGAGGGCAGCTACCAAGCATCTGTGCTGCATTCTGAGCCCCTTTTACTTCAGAAATGGGGGTTCACTTGGTCATGAAGTAGGTGGGGGCAAATAGCCTCTCTCTGTTTGTCTCTGTCTCTGTCTCTCTCTTTCTCTCTGGCTAGTCCTGGGGCTTGAACTCAGGGCCTAGGTCCTGTCACTGAGCTCCTTTTGCTCAAGGCTAGCACTCTACCACTTGAGCCACAGCTCCACTTCTGGCTTTTTTTGGTAGTTAGAGATAAGAGTCTCAGATGTTCCTTCCCAGGCTGGCTTTGAACCATGATCCTCAGACCTCGGGCTCCTGAGTAGAAAGACTGGCATGAGCCACCATGCCCAGCCCCTTTCACTTGTTTTACTGCTGAGAAAACTGAGGCCCAGAGACAGATGGAGATTTTTCCCAGGTCACACAGCAAGCCCATGTCACAGGCTAGAATAAACCCTGACTGGCTCAGCTCCAGATATCTTCCTGCTGACCCAACCTTTCCAGTTGATCACCACTAAGACTGGACAGGCCAGTCATAGTGCGGTCAGTTACTGAGTGAGGACAAGAAACTCCTTGTCCATTTGTGGGGTGGTGGTGGGCTGTGTGGGGTGCCAAGTGGTTTGGGGCCTCAGGCAGAGGGGCAGCTAGTAGGCCTCAGCCTCCTTGCTCCTCTCTCTCCAATGGGATCCCTGAGAGAAGGCAGGGCAGAGGCTGGGGTCATTGGAAGCCTAGGGCTTGGTGAGAGCAGGACCAACAGACACCAGGATGGACAGACACTAGGACAGATGGCCTAGGACTGGAATTTTATTTCCTCCAAGAACACCAAGACGGGAGCTATGGCTCGTGGTAATAACACTGCACGCATGTAGTTTTCCTCTTAAAATTCCTTTTTTTCTTTTCTTTGCATTGAAAAACCAAGTTTGCAAGCAGTACCTGAATTGACACATACTCCAGAAAGATTGAAACCATAGAAAAGTCCAGATCTGCATTGTCCAATGCAGTAGCTACTAGCCACACGTAGCCACTTAACAAATTCAATGGAATTAACTGGGACGAATGCATTTCCAGTAGCGACATTGTTACAGGTGCTCCAGAGATACACGTGACTGGTAAACGATGACTACATTGGATGGTACAGATCTAGAATATTCCATGACAACACGGCCAGACTATGAACTTATGAAAACCTATTGCCAGCCAAAAGTAAATTTAGGAATCAGTCTGTTTCCTTTGCAACTGTTTTATGTATTGACATGAGTGTGATATCCATAGAGACAACATTCCTGAGTTTATATAACCCTCCATGTTTACAGTTCCTTCAGATCTGCCCAGTTCTTGGCTCTGTGGATACCAGATAGGATATGAGTAAGAGTGTGGATATGAGAATTGTTCCCTGACTGTGTTAGTCAGCTTTCCATGGCTATGACAAAACACCGGAGGTAATCAACTTAAAGAAAGGTTTATTTTTGTTCCAGAGATCTCAGTGCACGGTCACTGGGCTCCGTGGTCCCTAGGCCGAGCTCACATCCTAGTGGGAGCATGTGGTAGAACAGGTAGCAGAGGTGGCAGACAGGCAGCAGAGGGAGAAGAGCTGGCTTTATATAATGGAGTGCCTTCTCTGAAAACTGCTAAGCTGTGAATCCACAAATTGGTTAGTTCATGGCTGAGGTCAGAGCCCTTGTGGTCCAGTCACTTTGCAAAGGGGCTGCCTTTTAATATTGTGCATCAGGACTGGGGCTGAGGAAGGGGCACTTCCTATCTCAGAAGTAACATAGAGACACACAGGTGGGGTAGGAGCCCCTTCTCTGCTCCTACAGGTTTGTTCTGCCCCCTGCCTTAAGTCAAGACAGTCTATCTGCAACTGTGTCATCTAGGCTATAAACGAGTGGCTCTGCTTTATGCTGCCTCTACCATTTGCGCCACAGCTCCACTTCCAGCATTTTGCTGGTTAATTGGAAATTAGTCTTATGGACTTTCCTGCCTAGGCTGGCTTTCAAACCTCAGTCCTCAGATCTCAGCCTCCTGAGAAGTGAGGGTTACAGGTGTAAGCTACTGGCACCCAGCTCCACAGTTTGTTTTAGATGATCACAAATAATTCTTTTCTTTTCTTTTTTTTGTCTAACAAGGCAGCACAGGCCATACAATGCTGTGCTTTTATACTTAATCACTTATCTTGGAGAGTTTCCACAGCAGCATAAAGAAAATCCTCATTGTTTTCAGTTGCCTTGTATTGTTTACTTAGCTAGTCCCTCCTTCGTGGATGGTGCTTTTAGGTTGTTTCCAGTCATTGCTCCACTTCAGACAATGCTCCAGTGAGCCCCAGTGAGTCCAGGTGCCCGTGGGTCTTTCTGTACTCTTCTGTACTCTTTTCTGTGTCTGGAAGGATGCTTCCACAGCTGCTGGGTCAGAATGCATGTGCATGTGCAGGTGTATTCCCAATTGCTAAGTAGCCCTTGGTGAAGGCCGTATTCACTGATGTGCCCGCCCACCTTATCTGAGAGTGTTTTAGGGAGCATTTTTCATGGCTGTGTATTATTTCAGAGTCTGCAGGAGTGGAACGGCTAAAATTGCCTTCTTCGTAGGACCAAAGTTTCCTGTGGTACTAATATTTCCTTACCTACACCATTGTTAAGTATTTTCCTCTTCAACCACTATTCCATGGCCTGAGCACACAGAGCCGAGTCCTCCTGACCCTGAAACAGAATCTGAGAGGGAAGGGGCTGAGCATGGGGGAAGGATGTCCTTCACCATTCCTGTCCAGTGTTCCACAACCACGAGTCTCATCGCAGTGGACATCTTTGTCCACTGAGCTTTGTTTGCATTCAAAGATAACTCTTCAGAGTAGGTTCAAGAAGGTAAAGGGCCTACCATGGTAGTCTTAGCCAAACAGAAGAGCAGCAGTCTGCCACGAGGCATTCAGAGCCCCTCTCTGCTACATACAATAAATCCTTCTTGGCCTTTCAATTTCCAGTCATTGCTCTTATTCCTTGAATGGCAGTATAGACACATGATCCGAATTCAGAAGGCAGAAAAGGCTTCAGGGAGGCGCTCCCCCACCCGTCACCAGCCTTCCTGCCCCTCCAGGTGGTACTTGGCCCCTGTTCTCTCTGTCCTTGGATCAGCTCATTGCAATGTGCATGTGTAACACCGTGCACAGGCACAAAGAGGTTAGCGGGACAGGCCTAGTCAGATCTGGTGTGGTCAGCAAGCGGCTGGAATCCATGAGGCAGAGAAGGTTCTAGAAGGAGGTGGTAGAGCTCGGCTCAGGCTGCCAGGAGGCTCAGAGGAGACCCGCAGGTGAAGGCAGAGCAGCTGGGGATAGAAGCAGACAGAGGGCTCTGTTGCTGTGAACCACTGGGCGTCTGAGGACTGGGACAAAGGGCAGACCTGGCCGAGGGCAGGCAGACACAGAAGGCCCTCCGCACTGAAGCTGGTTCTGTGGGGGCCATGTGGTGCCCAGTGTGGGCAGGGAAGGCCTGGAGGGGACCAGCAGGAAGGCAGTGATGAGAACCAGGTAGTGCCAGACACACCTAGAGGGGCAGGGACCTGCAGCATGCAGAAACGGAAAGCTTAAAGACCTTCGCCCTGCCAGACCCCTTGATGTGGGCTGCAAAGCAAGGCAGCCTGACCTGCTCTCAGCACTTCCGGGGGCCGGAAGACCAACTTCCCCTCTGACAGCCTGTGGGTAGGCCTGGGAGCTGGCCCGGGCTCTTGGGCTCAGCCACAGGGTGTCAGGGGCCCCACATCATCCTACAAGGCCTGGTCATTTTCTGGGTGAGGAGAAACCTAGGAAAGCTCCTCAGAGCAGAGTTTCCCGACACTGTGTTTGGCCAGAACCTTGTGCAGTTCTTCCCCGGGAACCTGGCTGCAAGCATTTGTTGAGTGTTTGTGAGAGACACTTCTGAGAACTGGCTCCTTCTCTTCCATCATGATGCCTGTGATCAGCCTAGCGCCGTGGGCCTTTAGGCACCAAAGCCTGGGCCGGGGGTGGCCAAGGCAGCAGTGGAGGCCCGGCTTTACACACTCAGGAAAAAGATCTAGCAAGAGAAAGCTATGAAAATCTAGCATGGTTGCCTGCCTTCTCTCAATTATTTGCTGGGCAGAAAGAAAAGCCGTCAGGTGGCCCCCAGCCAAGGGTCAGCTGAGCCACAGACCCATGGAATTCACAGTGCTGGAAGGAACCCCAGTCCTTGGCCTGTTCCTTGGCCCCGTAGGCATGTAATGTGTCTGTTCCTCTTCTATATGGAGCCCTAACATCCCTAGTAGATCCCTGTACTCTCTCTTCAGCCTTCAGCATTCACAGTACAAACAGTTGCTACCAGGCAGCTGGAGTTCACGTGGAAGTTCAGCCTACTGGCCATTCCAGGTTTAGTCCAACATTTCCTTTCTCCTGAAGAGACCACTGAGCCTGGAACCAGTCCATGGTCTGTGCAAGCTCAATGCCTGTCCCTATGTCCCGGGGAGTCTTAGCGCCTGTTCCAATGCTGCTCACCCCCTAAGCCCTTGCTATCTCCCCCATTTCCACAAGTGTGGTCCTGCCCTCAGAACTCTAATTTCCCACAGTTTCTGAGAAGCTACAGAAAAACCAATGCCATCTTAGGTCTCGTTAATAGGAGTAGAGTAACTAGATGGAGGAAGGTGATAGTTACAATTCTAGGGGACTGATTCTTTCCCTGTATGACTGTATACATCAGCGGTGCAGAGACAGACAGATAATCAGAATACTTTTAAAGTATTATGCGGAGGCTCAAAAATACTTCATAATGAATGGCCCCCGATGGCTGATTAGGCCAACAAGACTTGAAGACTTCGTCTTCAACACATGGTGCTTAGACAGCTTCACACTCATGTGCAGAGAATGAGATTGGACCTCTATCTCACACCATACATAAAAATGCACTCAAAATGGCCCACACACAGACCTGAATGGAAGAGCTAAAACT